GAGTGACAGTCATTGTTCCAAGCATAACCTGCTTCACAGCATCACAAAGGACACTTCGTGTGTAATAACCACGTCTTCTGAAACTTTTCACATGAAGTAGGAATAGGTCTTGTAAAGAACTCTTAATAGGCAACAGTACTCACACTTTATTGTCTGGCAGCGGAGGTGGTGGCACAGTCGATTCAAACACATGAAATCCCATGACTTCTCTAACGGTATCACTCCTACACCAGACGACCTGACCTACAACGCTCTGGGTGCTTTCCTTCAATGAGAGATGGGAAAAATTTTAGAATTCTGATAACATAGAAATGATATATCTATATAAAAATAATTATCAAATAAATTGTATATGACACATAGGCGTAGAATAAGACACATTGGCAAAGCCATTGCAGACTTTGCGCCCATGTGCTTCTTGCGCCTCGCCGAAGCGTGCCATTCGAACGGCTTTTAACAAGAAAAAACTCAGGGAAATCAAATATTCAGCGCTCTACGCTCTATAGTACTCAAACAATTTCTACTAGTGGGCTACACGCACCGGTAGTCCTTTTCCTTTCGTGGGCCCAGTTCCAGTCAGATTGCTAGAGCTTATTCTTGGAAGCAATACCGTATCTTTCGTATTACTACTCTTCTACCACTTTTTGTCGCATGCTCTCTTCAACAAGAAGGCAGAGAACAGCTTTCATAGGGTGACACACCCATACTGCATTTGCTAGCCGACAGCTTTGGAGCAATTGGTTCACCTCAGCGTACATCCGCAACGTTTACCAGATTTCATCAATAATTGAAAATCTAAGGAATGTTTTTCTCGATAGTAACACACAATTGTTTGGCGGTTCCATAGACGCAACTTCAGGAAATAAACAATACAAAAGAAATCAAATAAGGCTGTGATTCTCCCTATGTTTATGTGGTTCACATGATTCGCGCAGTCGTCAGCGTCAACATTTGATAGATGAATGGTCAAGTATTTCCTGTGAGCTGCTGTAAAAGATGACACTCCAGATCAGTTGTTAATGACTAATGAATTTCATGCTCTAATGAACTCTTTTCGTACTCTATGGAAGAACAGTGAAAGAACTAGAAACTTCACCCTAACTGAACTCAACACTCGATCTGATATCAATACGGTGATATCAATCTTTATCGTCCCTTCAATATCTCTATTCAAGCGGCCAGACGCATGATTCATCTCGCCGCAAGGATGTCCAGGGGGGGCCACCGCGCACCGGACGATTCTGTTGCCA